CTAGTAGGTTGCAGGCCATCGCTCTTAGGTTGGAGGCCATTGCTCTTAGGTCGGAGGTCATGGCTAGTAGGTTGGAGGCCATCGCTCTTAGGTTGGAGGTTATGAGTATTAGGTTTGAAGCTGGTAGGTTGGAGGCCATCGCTCTTAGGTCGCTGATATCGAGCGCGTGGCTCGGGAAGTGCAACTTCTGAAGCTCATCAGGTGCCCCATCGGTTTTGTTGGCTGCTTTTTCTGTGCTGGTTGTGTTCGGAGATGTTGGGAGTAAGAACAGTAAGGGCAATGGTTATTTGCTCCTAGTAGCCCCTAGTAGCGTCCTTGCCCTTGCTCCTAGTAGCGATACCTGAAGTCCCTAGTAGCGTCCTTCTGAACAGTTGAAGGATTATACAATCAAAGTTTCAAGATGTTTCAACCGAACAACTACATTCCATTGTGTGAATATGTGAGTGACAGTTCAGTTAAGCAGAGTAGTATTATGTTTTTAGAAGCGTTCGTTTTGCTGCATGCTAGTTTAGTTGTCTTTAGTTCAACAAGGGGTTCATTTGGTAGATGAAGATAACAAAGAGTTACTAAGAACAAAGACGCTACTAGGAACAAAGGGCATCGCTACCAGGAGCAAGGACGCTATTAGTTTAATACGGACAAAGCCCCTTGGCCTTTTGGAGGCATCCACATGTGGTGCAGCTCTTTGAAATCATTGAGACAAAGGGCCAGCTCAGACCCAAGATATGTCTTTCGCGCAACTGAATACAACGTATATGTTTGCTGATTTTTTGCTTTTCACTTTGACACATGGTCTTTGTTTTTCTCAATTGGTCAAATTTGTTTTTTCCTGTTAAACACTTTTTGTCTTCCGAGGCTTTATCTCATCATGGAATATGCTTCTGGTGGGGAGCTCTTTGACTACATTGTCCAGCACCAGCGTGTCCCCGTTCGCCTGGCGATTTTACGAGGTATGAAGCCTTTGTTTCGCACTGAGGTTAAACCGGCAACCAAAAAACAACAAAACTCTACTAGGGGCTCCTGGCCTTACTACTAGGAACAAGAAGCTACTAAGGGCTCCTGGCATCGGTGCTAGGAGCAAGGATGCTACTAGGAGCAAAGGGAGGGGTAGGCCGTGTAGAGTGAGGTAGGTTAGCTACGTAGGTAGTTTGAGTAGCTACTACCGACAGGACGCAGGATAGCTCACGCTTCTTCAGGATAGCTCACGATTTTTCTTCTTAGCTTCTCTTTTTTTAGCCCGCTGCCCTCCCCTCCCTACTTAATTAAGTAGGCGATGGCCTCCAACCTAAGAGCCATTGCCTAGAACCTCAGAGCGATGGCCTCCTTTCCTTTCGCGATTACTGAGCTTTAGTGAGACACTTGGTACAAAGCATGCACACAGTGCCCCTCATCCATGGTAGTCCAGTTGGACATGAGTGGGCTCTTCGACCGCGGTTGCATCATGCAACTGCGTAAACTCATCAGGGAGACCAGCCTCTAAACAGTCAGGGCACAATCTGTACACGTAGCTGTGGAAGGCTTCAGCTAAAGTGGCATTCAACGCAGCAGGGTAAATTTTTGCCCTGGCCGTTCTAAAAGCGCCTTAGCACTTTCCTGCAAGGCCGACATGTGTGCATGACAATCTCCGAGAAAGCTTCCATTCTCACCAGCATCAACGTGGTGGGTTTCACACCGGCTGCCCCAAACACGCATTGGTCGAAAGACACAGCGGAGACAGCATCAGCCGTTGCTATCTCTCTCATCTCTCGTAGCTGCCAGATGGATGTGCATGGTGTCCCATACATCCATGTTGCTGTTTGGGGATGCTCGATGAATCCGCATCCGCCGAAGGCCATCACCAACGTAAGAAGCTCCATGGCAACTTCTAAGAGGCCTGTCCGAACGGACACCTGCGCATGCTGCTTGCGTGTGAGGTGCTTCAACCCCCATGGCGATTGCCGATCACGCAATGGCGGCGGACCGCCGCCAAGCCAACGGGCGACTGACCAAGTCTCACAAGGCGGACCGCCGCTGACGTCGATGACTTGTCGTGCTAGAGATCTCCATCTGCTCCTTGCAAGCATAGGTCGACACTGAGGCAGAAGGTCTCAATGTTATGGACCCACGTGTGCGCCTCAATGCAACTCTGCAGGTCATGCTGCCTTCTGAAGCCTGAAAAGAGATGCACAAAAACAACTGTGCGCAGATGGATGCGCGCATCCCATACAGACACTGAGTCTCTCCTCAGTATGCCAGCTGTGCCGGAATTGAAACCTCGACCCTGCTGGAAGAGGTGCGCGTTCTCCGGGAGGACCACAGGCACCGGGGCAACCGGCTCGGCAGTTTGCACTCCCTCGACGTTACACCAAGGCCTCTGACAACCAGGTCCTTGCTGGCATTTACGAAAAATCGCTTTTGCCTCAGGGCTCCCTACTGGTGGTAACGCTGCAAAGGGAGCTCGCATCGCTGGCAGGCCAACCTAATGCCTTTTGCTGTGCACTTAGCTGTCGATCTACCTCATCGAGTTCCTCCACTGCGGAGTGGTGGAAAAGGCCTTGCTGCATAATTGGCAAGCAAAAGCAGGGACTTGCGGCGACGACATGACAGTATGGCAAAAGGACAACCCATATCCCTGGAAAGCTATCTAATCTTCAAAGGCCACAGTCTATGTTTTGCTATGCGAAGAGCAAAGCGAATGGCAGCTTGCTCAGCGTTCTTAACTCTGGCTTTCCACGTGTCATCCTTCGATGCGAAAGTGCAAATGTCAATCAAGGTGGCGTCCGGAGTCGGCCATTCCCCTTTGGGATTATGATCTTTCAGCCACTTGAGGTCGTTGAACAGATGCTGCTGCCAACCATTCTCATGGTCACAGGCCTGAAGGATGTGCCAGACAGAATCCGGCTGGCGTCTCACTGCTCTGGCAAGATACCTAAGCCTATTGACGGTAATCTGCTGCGCAGGCTCAAGCATGTTGCAGAAAGCAGCCAGCTCTCCTGTGGTAAACGCATGTGCTTCATGCCCTGTCAGCATAGGCTTGACTAACGGCGTGATCATATCACGAAAGGCGTCTTGCACCTTACGAAGATCTTCATCCCGCACCCAGGACCGGACATGACACCGGTAAAAAAGGCGTGACCCGACAAGGCTACGAAAAAGCAGGTGCTTGTTTGAGTGGGAGACGGCAGGGTTGCACCACAGATTGCGCACCAAAGGGTTTTATGCCTTCTTGGCCTCAGCAATTCTGTGCTGCGCCTCTCGCGCTGGTGTGGCATCACTCTGGACATAAGAGCCCAGGTGCACACCGAACACTCTCAACCGAGTGCTCAAGCACTATACCGGGACACGTTGTCGTTGGTCGACAAAAATGGATATTTTTAGGGCACGCGAACAATTTCAGTCTTATCAGGCTTGAAATTGATGCTCATGCTTCTTTTGCGAGCAGCATCACTGAGCATGGCCAAGGCTTGAGCCGCAATCTGCAGGACTTGAGTTCTGTCCTTTGCAATGATACAAAATGCAGCGTCGTCGAAAAAGGCAACATCAACGAATGCTGGCTGTGCGGCCTCATGTTTACCTGCTCGATGCCGGTGAGCAAGCCAGTCGAGCGCACCAAGCTGTGTAAACTGGGCCCTGACTTCCTTCAACAACAACTGCATCAGGATGTTGAAGGTGATGTCTCCTATGGGATCACCTGGCCTTGTGCCACGAGATGTACGCCTGGCATATGGCAACCCCCTCATTGTAAAATGCGCTTGCCGAAAAGCATCGAACGTGGATTGCTGCACCGCCGGTGTTTGATGTTTCAGCGCAAAATCAGCCTGGGCCTGACGCTCCCATTCGAGGAGCTCCTCTGGCAAAAAGCCGTGCTGCTGCAGGAAGTGACAGAGAGCCATATGAACAGACGATGTAAATTACTTGGGCATAAAATTAGAAGCAGCAACGATGACCCCATGAGACAAATATCATTCGTTGATAGCGCTGCATCCAGAGTTGATTACGGCACCAACCGAGTTGGGAAACCGATGCAAAACTGGCTGCATATCACAAACAGATTTGCGCGCGAAAACGTTTTAAGACATCACAATTTCGATGAAAACACCGATGATGCAAGAATATGTGCAGCCGCATTGAACAGAGATTTTTAATTACCGTTCTTTGGCTGCGCCAACGCCTTGCAATGAGCCCGTCCGGACCAGGTCGGCGCGAGGTATGGCTGGGAAAAAAGGAGACAGATTTTAGCACAGGTGGGAACCTGCCTTAAGGCTTGAACAAGCTCAGACCACCATTTATTGACTTCTTGATGCGTATCAGCAGAACCCCAAAAAGGTGCATGCCCGGAGCCAAAGATCCAGACCCCGAGTGGGTTGTCCACCCGCATGACTAGGAGCCTGGGATTGGACACAAGGAGCGCAAGTTTAGACTGCTCCAATCCAATGTGCGAACCTTGCACCAAAGTTCACACCCAAACAATCTTGCATTCTGAGCTGTATGTGCTCCAGAACTGAAAATTCGATAGTGTTCAGTATTGGAGCATCCCACATTCATGCGAGCTTCTTGCAGTCCAGCTACCACAATGCCACTCTCGTGGAATTGTACATCAATTCTTCCACTCTTATTGCCTCCACGGCGTCCACCTTGGTCAATGACTTGCTCATCAACCAGAGACAGCGCATTGTAGGACAACACTTTCAACCTAAGAGCAAAGGGCTCTCCAACCTAAGGGTGATGGTCGGCAACCCAATATTTGATGGCCTCCAATGTGTTTTGTTTTGATTCAGGTTTGTCTAAGCTTTGATGCCAAAGGGGCTGACAGTGTTTTTGTGTTTTCTTATTGACGCTATTAGAAGCAAGAAGCTACTAGGGGCTACTGGCCATACTACCAGGAGCAAGGACCCTACTAGGGGCTCCTGGCCTCGCTACTAGGAACAAGGACGCTACTAGTACTAGGGGAGAAGGCATTGAAGGCACCGAGGTGACTGAAACACTTGGAATATTGTTTGGGTTACGGAGAATGCGAAGCAATTCGGGGCAACGGATTTGCGATGCACTTGTTACTAGTAGCAATGGCCTCCAACTTAAGAGCAGTGGCCCCCAACCTAATAGCGATGGCCTCCAACCACAGGGTGATTGCATAGATTATATATCACAGTAGGAAGGGTGAATGAAGTTTATATGACAAGCAATTAGCACGTGGGGAAAGATGCTAAAGCTACTTGACTACAAGTTTTCCTACATATCTAGGAACCAAATTATTAGTGCGAACGCTTCCTTGAAGACGCGTGAGCTATCCTGCGTGCTAGGTAGTAGCTACTTGTAGGTACTAGCTACCTCTTCCACTAGCCTATCTAGCTACCTCTACGGCCTCAACAGAAAGCTTCTTGTTTCTAATAGCGATGCACTTGTTACTAGTAGTAAGGCACTTGTTCCTAGTAGCGATGCACTTGTTTCTACTAGCGGCCTACCCCCCCGAATCTTTCTATTTCGGGCCTCTTCTGTCGCCAGGAGGTGGATGCTTGCTGTTTTTTCCATCAAATCATTGCTGGAGCCACATCCTTGAGAGCGCCGTTGAAAGCGTCTCAAAGCGGCGAAAGAAGCGCCAAAGTAGTTTGAAAGACCTAGTAGCGCCCCGTTCGTAGCGTCCTTGTTTCTAGTAGCGATGCCCTTCGCTCCTAGTAGTAAGATTGCAAGTAATAGTGCTGTCCCCTGACAGCATTGCAAGAGGCAAGCACGAAGGGCGGAATCACCAGAAGTGTTGCTTGCCTTTGCTTCCGTGTTGCCCAAAGAGCCCATTGTCAGGTGGAGAAGATTCATCAACTGAACGTGGTTCATCGGGTGGGGACCCAAAGTTGGGCTTTTGGGTACTTAAAGGCTACTAGGAGCAAGGGCATCGCTACTAGGAGAAAGGACACTACTAGGGGTTCTGGCCGTGCTACTAGGAACAAACTTCTTTTTTGAGTTACTACTAGCGATGGCCTCCAACCTACAAGTTGATCATGTCATATCGTCCAATCAAATTATATTTAAACTATAATAGCAAACATTGTTACTAGAAGTAAGGCACCTGTTCCTAGTAGCGATGCACTTGTTACTACTAGTAAGGCACTTGTTTGGAGTTGGACGTGGCAGTGAAATCTGCCAAGGGGTGTTTCGCTAGAAAAGGGACAAACGAAAGGTCTTAAAAAAAATAGGAAGGCAAAAGTAGAAGAAGAATAAAACGAAAGGTCATGTTTATTTGTTCTCCATTGCTAGGTTGGAGGCCATCGCTATTAGTTTGAAACACCCTTCCAAATCGAACCTGCGAGGAAACTACCTAGACCTACCTAGCAGACCTGGATTGCAGACTTATACCTAGTAGCGTCCTTGCTCCTAGTAGCGATGCTAGGAGCCCCTAGTAGCTTCTTGTTCCTAGTAGTAAGGCCAGGAGCCCCTAGTAGCGTCCTTGCTCCTACTTAGCTTTCTGACTCTACCCAAAACGAAAGAAAGATACCGCTTCTGTCAGAAAGAAGAAACAGTCAACGTTCTTAGGACTTGAAGCCCGAGAACCTGCTACTGGACGAGCCAAGCTCTCAAGACCTCAACCTGCGCCATTTTGTTTTCCTTTTTCCAGTAAACTCTGTAGTCGTTGCCTTTTTCCAGTAGGGTGGAGGCCATCGCTACTAGGGCGGAGGCCGTTGCTTCTAGGGTGGAGGCCATTGCTACTAGGGCGGAGGCCGTTGCTTCCAGGGTGGAGGCCATTGCTACTAGGTTCATTCTTTATTAAGTTTTTCAGATTTCAGTCATGTGTCTTTTGCGAGGCAAGAATCCTTCTCGCTTCAACGGTTTCTTTTTGTCCTTTTAGGCACAAATGCATCAAGATCGTTGACTTCGGCCTCAGCAATGTGGGGAAGCGAGATTAGAAAGCAGAAACGCTAGTTTCTTACTTCCAGTTGCGAGGCCTTCACAATGAATTTCCTTTCCAGCTTCGCTTGTACTAGTAACAAGTGCATCGGTAGTAGTAACAACAAGCTAGTAGAAACAATAAGCTACTTTCGCTTGCTTCGCTTGCTTCGCTCCTTTGCCAGCGCTTTGAGCCGAACCAGCTGCTGAAGACAGCCTGTGGCTCGCCATGCGGCCTGAATGCAAAGCAGTGTGGATACCGGGAACCAATGCAAAGCTCAATGGAAGCTTCAAAGAAGGAGGTGTCTATTGCTCGTAGTAGCGATGCCAGGAGCCCCTAGTAGCTTCTTGTTCCCAGTAGTAGGGCCAGAAGCCCCTAGTAGCGTCCTCGCAGTTTTGGAAAGAGTGGCGCTGACACACATCCTAGTGAGTGAGATGCATCCTGCATGCCGGATGGAGACACCGTGGTGATTTCCACTTTAGTGGGAAAGGGATATTACATATTCAAGAGGCACAAGTGAGGCAAGAAGCTACTAGTAGCTCCTGGCATTACCACTAGGAACAAGAAGCTACTAGGCACAAAGGCATTACTAGTAGTAGCAAGAAGCTACTAGTAAGAAGGGCATTGCTACTAGGAACAAGAAGCCACTCGGAACCAGTTGGCCATCCCAAGTTCACGGTCTCCAGGCTATGCCCCACCCGAGATGGTTTCTGGGCAAAGCCAAGCTCCCAGAGAAAAGAGACAGAGACATGCCAGACATGTGCGGCTGAATGTAGCTATTAGAAGCTCATGAGCAGAGCGCTAGAGCCTTTGTTCCTGTTTGTAGTTTCGACGTTGGGGCAGGTGGGGCAATAAATCATAGTGCCTCAGTGCCTTGTCTAAGCAAGATGGAAAGGTAGTTTAGACGAAGGCCATGTACTTGCTTCACTGAAGGCTACACGCCCTGGAACTATCATGGAAATGGAACATGTCCACTAGAAAAACCGTTCTCCTTGACAAAAAGGTGTTTCCATGATTTCAGGGAGTGTATGTGCCCTTCTAATCTGGTGCCTTTTTGGTGAAGCACAAAAGCTTGCCAGGCTATGTTCCGCAGATGTGTGACCTTTGGAGCTGTGGCGTCATCCTTTTCGCTGCTCAGATGCAAATGCTCTGCTATGGCCTCCAACCTAGTAGCTTCTTGTTACTAGTAGCGATGCACTTGTTACTACTAGTGGCAATGGCCTCCACCCTAAGAGCGATGACCATCCTGGAGGCAAACACGAGATAGACAGAAGAGAACTCGCCGACCAACTGTCAGCTTAATTGGACGACCAACAGTATAGGGTCCGCACCTCTTCTGAGTGGCTCTTGTTGACGCTCCAAGTTCAATTCTAATAGCTTTTAGCTTCTAGTGAATTCTTGTTTCTAATAGCAAACATTGTTCCTAGTAGTATGGCCAGGAGGCCCTAGTAGCGTCCTTGCTCCTAGTAGCGATCAGGAGCCCCTAATAGCGTCCTTGCTCCTACCTCAATAGTTTGTTGTCTCAAAAACCAACCTATGTTCAAACAAAGACTAGTCTTTTGATTTGTTTAAAGACTAGTCTTTCATTTGTCTTTGTCTGAGGCGATGGTGTGCGGTTTTCTGCCCTTCGAGGCCTGCACACACGTTTTTGCCTGTTTTGAGGTAGGCTGCTTTTGTTCAGCTTGCAATGTTGCTAATTGCTAATTGCTACGCTCGCTATTAGGTTGGAGACCTATAATGTTGGTTTTTCCCTAGCAGTTGAGAAAAACTCAATATTGGGACACAGAAGAGCGAACGCTTCGCACGGTTCCTAGAAGATTTGCATTATCAATAGGCATCAATGTAGCTTCTTGTTCCTAGTAGCGATGTCAGGAGCCCCTAGTAGCGTTCTCGCTCCTAGTAGCGATGCCCTTTGCTCCTAGTAGCGTCCTCGCTCCTAGTATAGACTATATTACGTTCTTGTTTTGTGTGCGTCGCTTCGGATGCATTCTTTTCGGATGCTTTTTTTTGTTGTCGACTTGCCTTCAGTTTGTCCTATTTTGTGGTCAGATGGTGGTTGCGCTGAGGATTCCAACACTTCGGCACTTTATAAGAAGATCCTCTCCGCCAACTACAGCCCGCCCTCCTTCATCAGCGATTCGGTGAAGGTGGAACTGCACTTCAGTTTGTGGGAGTCTGTTCTGTTGAGTTCCCGGTTGTACTTCTCCCTGTGTTTGAAGGGTGATGGGTCATGTCCTTAAAAACTAGGAGCATTCTGGCTACTAGGAGCAAAGGGCATCGCTACCAGGAGCAAGGACGCTACTAGGGGCTCCTGGCCTTACTACTAGGAACAAGAAGCTTCCTTGGGAATCGTTTCACCTGTAGTAACAAGAAGCTACTAGGAGCAAAGGGCTCCTTTGCTCTCGGTATGTACGTGCCAGGATCTCATTGCTGGCCTTCTCACGGTGGACCCTGCCAAGCGTTTTACAATTGCGGATGTGGACTGCCAAGACAAGTCTGACTGTCTTATTCTCGAGAGAATTTGTTTATTTCCTACATTTTGAAGGCCATTGCTACTAGGTTGGAGGCCAGCGCTACTAGTAACAAGAAGCTATTAGCTTATTGTTTCTACTAGCTTCTTGTTACTACTAGTAAGGCACCTGTTACTACTAGCGATGCACCTGTTACTACTAGCGAGCCCGTTTTTTCAAACCGAACTTGTACGAACTTTTTGAGGTTCGTGCACATGCCTGGTATCGGCAAATTCCAGAGGCCGCGAAATCACGAGAAGCGAAGTCAGATGCCTCTTCGGTCCCATTTCATCCACACCAGTTTCGCATACCAGGTGCATCGCTAGTAGTAACAGGTGCATCGCTAGTAGTAACAGGTGCCTTACTAGTAGTAACAAGAAGCTAGTAGAAACAAGTCTTTGTAGATTGTGTAGGCATCTATGCGACCAAGAGACTTGGTGGCGAAGCAATGTGGCACGGCACTTGGCTGACAGTGCTTACATGCCCTGGCTACACACTGTTGAACCTCAATTCGGACAATGGTGGGCAGGAGCCCCGAACCAGAGAAGTCGATCGACTTATTGATTTCAACAATAGCAATGGCCTCCAACCTAATTGACTTCAACGTGTTTAACCCAATTCGTCTCAAGAAGGAGGTTATCCTCGGATCCTTGAAATAAACATCGAACTCAGCCCTACTGGCATTTTTCAGGTCTTTGTTCAACCAGAAACTACGCTTCAACTGTCACTAACTTGGCTCAAGTCTGAAGCAACAGGCTCTTTTACTTCATATCAAGAAGTGCTCCAGCTTGAAATCAATCAGTATTAAGAGAAACGTGACAACAAGTAGTAACAAGAAGCAACTAGGAACAAGTGCATCGCTTCTAGTAACAAGTGTCTTACTAGTAGTAACAAGAAGCAACTAGGAACAAGTGCATCGCTTCTAGTAACAAGTGTCTTACTAGTAGTAACAAGAAGCAACTAGGAACAAGTGCAAAGACCAGAATCGACTTCGAGATTTTTTTTGACAAGGCCAAGCGTGGCATGTTTTGGTAGAAATCTCGTGCGTTCTGCCGTAGCTGATATGACACAAGCAAAGGACATCGCTACTAAGAGCAAGGACGCTACTAGGAGCGCTCCTGGCCTTACTAGGAACAAGAAGCTACTAGGAACAAGTGCATCGCTTCTAGTAACAAGTGCCTTACTAGTAGTAACAAAGAAGCTACTAGGAGCAAAGGGCCTTACTACTAGGAACAAGAAGCTACTAGTAGCAAGGACGCTATTAGGGTGGAGGCGATTACTAGGAACAACAAGCACACAGTGTGGCACACATTAGGCACTGCGCCCACAATCCACACGAAGGCAAGCTTCGCACACTTCAAGCTGGTAGAAACTTCGGTCCTTGCTCCATTTTTGCTTAAGAAGGAGCATACTTAGCTTATACTACATCTTACTGACTTGCCTCACCAGCTACCTCTTCCTGGCACTTTGAGATCCTAGCTTTCTCGCTTTGAGGCTTGGACGAAGATGTGCTCGAAGAGTTGAAGCGACATGGTGCGCCAAATGTGTGAAGCAAGCAGTAACAAGTGCATCGCTATTAGTAACAAGAAGCTATTAGGGGCTCCTGGCATCGCTACGAACGGAGCGATCGGACGCTGCGAACGGGGCTATTAGAGTTGAGTTAGAATTCAATTTAATAAGAATTGCAATAGAATTGAATTTCGAATTGACATAGAATTGGAATTGAATTAGAATTGAATTTGAATTTCAATTCAATGGCCTCCAGCCTACTAGCGATGGCCTCAAGCCTAGTAACCATGGTCTCCAACCTTCCAAAACCGGCTAGTCATGGCCTCCACCCTACTAGGGGTGGCCTTGAACCTACTAGCAATGGCCTCCAACCTATTGGTGCTGGCCTCCAACCTACTAAGTCTAGCAATGCCTCCAACCTAGTAGCGATGGCTTCCAACCTACTAGCCACGGCCTCGAACCTACTACTAGTAACAAGAAGCTATTAGAAGCAATAATTAGAGTTAAACAGTAGAATTAGTATTCAATTTAAATAGAACTTGTTTCACAACTTTGATTGAAGGCCATCGCTGGTAGGTTAGAGGCAATTGCTACTAGGTTGGAGGCCATGGCTAGTACGTTGGAGGCCATCGCTAGTAGGTTGCAGGCCATGGCTAGTAAGTTTTGGAGGCCATCGCTAGTAGGTTGGAGGCCATCGCTAAGGCCAGGAGCCCCTAGTAGTGTCCTTGCTCCTAGTAGCCATGCCAGCAGCCCCTAGTAGCGAACATTGTTCCTTTAGCTGTCTGGGTATGGTGGTGATCGATTGAAATCCTTCTTGAAAGCAGAGTCATTGTGCTTTATTTGAGCTTTGGGGTGTTGAAGGCTTTCCGCGTGAGTATGCCATCAATTGCCTTCAGAACAACAAGCACAACAGCGTGACCACCACGTGCCCTTTTGGTTGAATTGTGCTTGACATTTTTTTGAAACATTGTGTGGAGGAACAGCACCATCTTGTTACAAGGTACTATTTGCTTGCAGCTAAACGCCGCAGGCAACTCATTGTTTGTTGTTTGTTTTTTCGAGTTTGTTTTGGAACATGTATCTCTGATGGGATAGCAATGAAAGGGCAGGATGGAGGCAAGTGAGTTTGGTTTGCTATTCAAACAAGTGAGAGCCTTAGATTGCCTTTTAGATGTTCTCTGTTTATACATATTATATATACATATAATATATATATATATATCTACATATACATATACATGTTTTGTTTTGGAAGGATGATGGAGCATTTGCAGATGGAGGAACGCAGCCGGGGAACTCAAAGCTGGACTGTAGGACATGAATCTAAGAAAAAAAATCCAATTGAACATGTCATGTTAGATAATTTTATAGAATCATTCTTTCAGACAAAAGACCTCTGCACTTTCCTCTATTCTTTCTTTGACATAGCATTTATAGCAAATCGAAAGCAGGGCACCTTTTTTTGGGGTATGCGCTATAGCCACTCGACCTGTTTTGTAGCATTCTTTTGCGCCACATGCGTCATCTTGCGTCGACTGAGATGCCGAAGAGCGCCGTGTCGTGAGCCCGGTGTGGTAAAAAGGGATGGCCTCCAACGAAGCGATGGCCTGTAACCAAAGTCTCTTTTTTGAATATTTGTTGGAACAGAATCAGGTTATGCAATGGGTCAATGCGTGTGGCACGGGTTTTATGTTTTCACCCTTGACATTGGGTGAGGAAAGCCTGGTGAACACTTTCCAGGTTTCTTGAAGGATGCTTGATGTTTCTTGAAAACGGTTCAACGATCTATAAAAGACATAGCAAACAGAAAAGTCCTTGCCAAGGGCTTTAAAGTAGTAGGTTTGATCCCAAATTTGTGCTGAGGCCGCTTCACCTGCCACACGGCCAGGGGCCTCCACTACGGACCAAAGGTGGGAGATGTCCAAAGGGTTGCATGCACTCCACCCTAGCAGTCCCTGTAGGGACGCCAGGCTTCGGTTGGATGTCGCAGTTATTGGACTGCTCGAACATGTGACAGTTGATTGATTGGACTCCTGGACTCTACTAGGAACAAAGAGCATCGCTACTAGGAGCAAGGACGCTACTAGTAGCTCCTGGCCTTACTACTAGGAACAAGGACGCTACTGCACCCAGGAAAAGAACAAAACGGTTTGGAGCACACGCTTGCTCTAGCAGCTTGAAAGCAGAGCTGTGCAGGAAAATGACTCTGCGACTTCACAGCCCGAACAGCTCGTAGTAATTCACATACCCAAAGCGATGGCCTCCAACCAAATAGCGTCCTTGCTCCGTTTGTAGCGATGCCTGTTGTTCCTAGCAGCTTCTTGCTTCTAGTAGTAAGGCCAGGAGCCCCTAGTAGCGTCCTTGCTCCCAACAGCAAACTATATTAGACCTGTCTAACTTTTCTTTCTTCTTTGTTTCTAATAGCGATGGCCTCCTCACCCCCACACCTTCATCACCTCCCTCCCTCGAAGTTTGTGTCAGGCCAGAGGCAGAACAACGCAGAGAGAGCAGTGGAGGCGAATGAATTGCCAGTTGAAATTGAATGAACAACGAAAACCAACCTGATAGCAATGGCCTCCAACCTAGAAACGATGGCGTCCAAACTAGAAGCGATGGCCAATAGCAATGGCCTCCAACCTAAGAACGTTGGATTGAATTGAACGGCTTTGTTATTTTAACCTGCAACCCTAATAGCTTCTTGTTCCTAGTAGTAAGGCCAGTAGCCCCTAGTAGTGTCCTTGCTCCTAGCAGCGATGCCAGGAGCCCCTAGTAGCGTCCATGCACCTACCCCCCTTCCAACATTTTCGCAATTTTGTCACGCTGACGCTGTGTGCAGGTGTTGCTCAAGACACCACACATAAAGTTGCATCTCGGTTGGTCTGCAGCTTGGTGCCTTCGAACCCACATCAATTGCTTCAGTACGGCCAGGAGGCTACTAGTAGCGTCCTTGCTCCTAGTAGCGATGCCAGGAGCCCCTAGTAGCGTCCTTGCTCCCTAGTAGCATTTTTTGAAAAGGCGTAAGACCTTCAAAAGGCTTAAGATAGGCCACTTGTGGGTAGTGATGTTCACAACTTGTCTTTGCAAGAGGTTTTATAGGGTGGAGGCCATCGCTATTAGGGTGGAGGCCATCGCTAGTAACTCAAAAAGAACTTTGTTACTAGTAGCTTCTTGTTACTAGTAGTACGGCCAGGAGCCCCTAGTAGTGTCCTTGCTCCTTAGTAGCGATGCCAGGAGCTCCTAGTAGCCTTAGATAAATCGTAATCGACTCGGTAGACATCTCATTGGCGAGGTGACATCACCACATCAAACCCACCGAGCCTTCACCTCAGAAACGACAAAACACATATTTGCTTGCCAGCTTTTAAGTACTTTTAGCCTTCATGTTAGATATATAGTTTGTCATTTTTCCAAAACATGGCACGGACTGTTGACCCTTGCATCAGTCGGAAAGAAACACAGTTGCTGAGGTCACCACACCAACCACGGCGCAGGCGATAAGAATGGACATTTCAACAAAGTGCTCTTGTTCGAAAAAAACCATATCAAGAAAGAAAGACCGAAGACGAAGGGAAGGCATAGTGATGGGCAGCACCAATTCAGTGCAAAAAAATGACCTCCAACCTACTAGCGATGGCCTCCAACCTAGAAGCGATGGCCTCCAAAGTGCATTGTTTTGCTTTTGATGCCTGAAGGCTTCTACTCCCAACTCATCTCGCATGATTGTCGTGGACCTAATCTTGAGAACAACCCACCAAAGCTACGTTTGGATGGTCTCAAGACAATTGAGGTCAGTCCGGAGACTGTGTCCCGTCCATGCTCGGCTACGCAGGCAGACTTCACACTGTCAACGCCAGTCAATGACAACATTTGACTTGGTTTTGTTCAGGCAATATCCATGCAGACTACCCCGAAGACGACTCACACTCGTGTCAGAGCCTTTGTGCAGATGGTTTAACGATGTCTTTGGGTGTATTTCTGCCGATTTGATTGTTGATGCTGCCAATTGCTTGGCGTTTCTGCGCGCTCTTTCTGTCGCACGCAAGGAACAAGAAAGCATTTGAAAAAGATGTTTCAAGAGATATGAGTATTCCTGAAAGGGTTCTTCTTGGCCGCTCCAGAGGTGTCGCAAGACTCCGCTCGTGCACAGGCCAGTTGGATGCATTTGAAATACGCTTAGTTTTGGCTAGGCCAACAGACTTATAAGACTCATGGGAGCTTCAGCAGCTGTCATTTCCAGCCCTTTTGACAGGCTTCCAGTCCCAATTCATCTCGCATGATTGCAATGGACCTTAGTCAGTTGTATATTAACTTCAACCTCATCTTGAGAACAACCCGCTGAAGCTACATCTTTTGTTTGAGGTCAGTCCGGAGACTGTGTCCCGTCCATGCTCGGCTACGCAGGCAGACTTCACACTGTCAACGCCAGTCAATGACAACATTTGACTTGGTTTTGTTCAGGCAATATCCATGCAGACTACCCCGAAGACGACTCACACTCGTGTCAGAGCCCTTGTGCAGATGGTTTAACGATGTCTTTGGGTGTATTTCTGCCGATTTGATTGTTGATGCTGCCAATTGCTTGGCGTTTCTGCGCGCTCTTTCTGTCAATATCCGATGTTCCACCTCTTTTTGAAAGCTGTTGTGCGGTTCGTGGTATAGCTCGGCACAGCTATTTGACCATCCTATGAACTACATGCAGTCACAACAGAATAGATCCCTGCAAATTTCATGCTTGACACCGATAGCATTGGCACAGAAACAAGCTCAAGGTGTCGCCAGACTCAGCACGAGCGCAGGCCAA